GTGATTGTAATAATTTTTCCTTTACATTCCCGGCTTCAAGCTGAGGGCTCGAAGTTTTTGTAGCAGCGTTTATTTTACAGGACGGGGTTGCTAGCCTCATGCCCAACCTTTCCTCTTTACCAGCATTACTTCTGGCTTGGCGAGGTAAAGGAGTGAGTCGGACGGGGATCGAACCTCGGACCATGTGCATGGTCGGCGAGCGTCCTAACCGCTGTGCCACAGACGCTTTACATATATAAAATAATATATGAGAGCACTTTTCTTGACTATATTACACACAAATGTATCCTGTAGAGTTCTGCTGTTGTTCAAAATGAAGTGGAAACATATAATGATTAAAACTCAGCTGGTAGAAGCTCCTGCAGAGGAATCCACGGGTCGTCTTAGACAACTTATTTGAGACTCCTTAGGTGGATGTGGATAAATCCACACCCAACTACCTACTGAGTGAAAGTGTTCCTAGCGCAGATTGTTTCCAGTATTTCTGTCCAACAAAACACATCAGTCGACAGGTTAAGCTTCACTGAATCGAGTGCTGCTCCACAGTTCTCACGGGATGCTGCTGCTGACAACCAGTAAACTAGAATACGGTCACGATGACGCAGGTAAAACATTTCATGTATGTCTACTGCAGTTGTAGTATCACACACATGACAATTTTTGTTCATTGCCATCTTGTAAATTGTTTGGAAGGAAGTGTGTGTAATTAACCTGAACTGACAAACTTCAAAAACAGCATCCATAAAAATCATAAAAATGATTTATTATTACACAAGAAATTTTTCTTCAAAAATGAAAAAAGAGTAGAAGAATATATTAGTAAGCAAAAAGGTGATGAGAACATACAATAATAACAACAATATTTTATTTCTGGAACAGAAATCAGTCATTTTTACAGGCATGAACATATGTATACTAATTTGAACTTATAGAATGTATAGTATGAATTGTTAATCTAGAAATAGATTGAATACTGGTAAATGTGAGAGAAACATTTTAAAAGAAATGTACAAATAAGGAAATAGATAATTTTGTGGTCAGCTTTCGACCAAACAAGTCATAGGATATAGCGTCAAATCCAAATTGAAATTGAAAAAAGCGGTATGTCAGTTTCACGCGGGAATGATAAGTGATTGCGTTAATTGCGGAAGGTAAGTAGCATTTTTGTACAGGTGCTGACGTGATTCATAAGAGATGCAGAATGAATAATAATTATCAGTAAATGATTCATTAAGTGTTTGAAAGTCTATAAAACTTCGAAGTCACTGGTAAGTACACCATATTTGTGACATTTCCAGTTGTATATGAAACCAACTTTGAACTTGTCAGCAGATTTCATAATATAGGTGGTTCTCTTGTTCACCAGGTAATCTAGCAATATCCCGAATAAGTAGAGGATAGCAGCATCGTATCAGTGCCTTCGTTGAAGGCAGTAACTTTGAAAAGAGAAGAAGACACAGGAAAACCACCAGAGAGGTGCAAAAGTATATAATAGGTGTTATTAATTCAAAATATATAACAGCACACCATATGTCAGAAAACTCTAATAAACTGTCAATTTCCAGACCTTACGACTCTGGACCTCACGCTGTCCCTGGAAGACTTTCAAAATAATTTCTAATAAACACAGATTGGCAACTCGAGAATCCTTTATTCTTACGCCAACATGTAACCAACAATAAGGTTATTACACACAAATCTAAGAATAAATTTTATAACAATAAATCACAAGAATACTTCTGATAGTTTTCTCTCTTCCACAGAACAGCGAACGATGAGACGACGACTGCTGGATTGATCACTCCCGCGATAAATCTGGAGGAGTTGGGTTTGAGCAAACAACCAAGAATTGATCGTTCAATCCTCAACTACATTGACACTCCTCGGCAAAATACGGATCCATCCCTTTTTTCCATCACGACCAATACACGTTGACTTGGATGCCATTGCGAGAACCTGGGTCACACGGACAAAGCTGAAATGGAAAACAAATAGAAAAGCCAACACACCACAGGCATACCCACAGCACAATCTCACACATCGACGACGACCTACACCTTTCAGTTAAAGACATCCTCTTGACATCTTGCAACACAATCGCCACTTACTAGAATGACTCTTGCATAACGCAGCGTGACCATAGCAGCACCTTATGATACTCTTCGCACATCCTCTTATCTACCCACTGGCAATTACCACTGAAATCGCTTGTCACTCATTCTGCTTTAGTTCTAGTAACGGTGATGTATGCAAGCCTCAGTCGTCCACACTCTTGATCTCCGGGGTGTGGGACCAATAAATCACGATAATTCTTCTGATAGTTTTCTGTCCTCCACAGAGCAGCGAACGATGAGTGGATGACTGCTGGATTGATGAATCCCGCGAGAAATATGGAGTTTGAGCAGGCAACCATGAATTGATCGTTCAATCCTCATTTACATTGACGGGAGTCTTTCGATATCGACCATCGTCCACATCAACTCAGAACAAGTCTACTTCGTGGGCGGAATGAGAGATTTCACGAAGCGTCTCTATTTCTGAGTTCCTGCCGAGGACTGCAGATTTCGTGATACATTTGCTGAATATCGGAACAGGACGCATCATTTGCAGAATTGTAGTCCAAAACCAAGGGCTGTAGGGCCAAGGTTGCAGAGGTGGAGGTGGGCGTTTTGCGACCTTTACGGCTCTGACAGCTGCATCTGGAATTCCGGTTATCGATGATTGATAAAATGGTGCAAAGATACCTTGCATGCACTTACTTTGGTCTCCTGGGAAGAAGTGTAGAAACGCAAAAAGTGCTTCGATATGGGAGAATCAATCGGCTGGTCGGTTCACCTAGAAGGTAGAAAGCTGCACAGTTATAGCAAATTGCGTTGGCACACTGTCCTCAACCATGTGGAGATAACTTGTAGACAAAGTAAAAACAGTAAAGAAAGGACACAAACACAACAGTAATAGTGTCACTAGGTAAGGCAAAAAGTACACCAAGACGCCGAATAAAGCAAAATTTTTGGGATTGAGGTGGGGAAGAAAAGTTAGCTTCTGGCTCACCAGATGTAAGTTCCTATGTCGACTTCTATGTAGGCCTCAACGTCAGCACCTACCTAACTTGCTTTCCTCCGCTAACACTGGTCAGTGCACTACCTGCCATGTATTCAGTGATCAGTCAAGTTTAGGTAGAAGACTTGTGCACTGCTGTGCGCTCAGATATGAATAATATTTATATATCGAGTGTAAAACCAAAACTAACACGTAGTAATACTGAGTAACTTATCTGTCGACAGGTTCGGGCAGAAAGCTCCAGGAGTGTGCTTAATGATAGCACAATGAGGGAGCGAGTTACGTGCGAGCAGTCAGGCAGGAAAAGCAGAGATCGCGTAGCGCCACGGTACACAAACGCATTAAATCAATGTTCAAATATTCAAGGTGCACTACTCTGTCATGTTAATCCGCACGAGATATTACTTCGGTAGCCTATAAAGTGATAATACATGGCATCCTGATGGGAATATTCTATTATTATCCGTGGCCATGCGGAACGATTAATGATAGAAAAACATCAACCCAATGATAGCAGCCTCCCACCCTAACAGTTATCACTACACACTCAACATACCTTCCACTATCTTCGTGGTTTGACACAGCAAAGACAGTCGTGCTGTAGGACGTGGCATGAAGCTAATACTGAGAGTGGTTCCTTGACGTCCTGGCTCGAAATGCCTGTTGAAAATAAACATAAAATATGGGAGGTTTTCATTGTTGAGCATTGGATATAAGCGCCTTTTTGAGGTTAGCGCTACCACATTTGGAGCCTTTAGGTAGATTATTCAAATTAATCCCAGCGTGTTAAGAAAATCAAAAAAAGATAATTATAATCCGAGTAAATCTGCTGAAGAAGCTGTGGCTTACACGGCGAAATGTTCAGAAAAATCTTGTTTTTATTTTCTTAACACGCTGGGATTAATTTAAATAATTTATAATGAATCGATCTGACTCGGTGCTCAAATCATTCCAGGGAATTCGTAACACCTACGGTCTGAAAACCTATAAGCTTTCAGGTAGTGTTTGGGCCGCGATAAGATGTGTGCAGCAGCAATTCAATGCTAGCAGTTTATTACGGAAAGAATTGTCGCACTACAAGGGGGGTCAACAAATATACTAATGCGTCCGTTGTTACATGGTCGACCAGCCGGCAGGCTGTTGTGCAAGCTTATCATAATGCTGAATTAAGTCTCTCTTATCTGAACTAACTGTAGCATTCTGTAATGAGTAAGTCCTGAAGGTTACTGTAAACAATAGCAGCCCAGAACGAAACTACCTAAAGGATGGGTTGATAACCTTGATGAATTTATTTTCAGAAAATGGTTTAACCTGACTGCGAAAACTCTTGTGAGAAATTGGGAGATTTTCGTGGAATATATACAAGAATATTATCCTATGTAACCATTTTTTAACATTGCATTACTTGTGTGTGAATACTGAATTCGAACCATACACATGGTCCGACGTTCGATTCCCTGCCGACGCACACTGATATCTATGGTCGGCCTGCAAAATTTGGGCTACCGATATCACATGGTGGAAATTCCATACTTGTATCAAAAATACAGTGTGCAGTCAAGCTGTAATAAAAAACTACGCACTTCTAATTTTAACGCATATGATCAGTTGCTAGAGTTAGTTTCGTTTTTGGCTGCTATAGTTTAGAGTTACCACACTAACTCAAAACCCTGTGCTATTTCAGAAGTAACTCAGCCCTCTTAGCCCAGACCCAGAACTGCATTACTTCAGAACAAGAAGACAGTTCAGTGCATAGTGGCAATTTTTAAGCTTTATTTCAGCACTAGAGTCATTTCACCTGCAGATCCTGTTTCCAAGGTTTTGTCGCAGTAATTGAGCGTATGGTGCTCTTTTTAAGAACGACCAGTGTTATTTCAATGCATAGCGGGTTCATGTGTGTCGGTGGTACAGCGGTTAGGACGCTAGCCGATTATGCATATGGTCCGGGGTTCGATCCCCGGCCAAAGCACACATGATATCAAAAGTCTACCTGCTAAATTTGGTCTACCGATATCACATGCTGAAAATTCCATACTTGCACCAAAATACTGTATGAAATCAAGCTATAATAAAATAAATAATAAAAATATTCATTTACCATTTATCGACGCATAGGTTAGGATTAGTTTAGAATGATTGTAAGCTTCAGAAGTCATTAGGCCTAGTGACTTAAGTTCTAGTCTGTGCGCTTAATCAAACCATTTCAGAACAGTTTCAGGATTTAATCATTATAAAATGTCAGCGTTAGTTTAGAATGAGCGGGATTTAATTCAGAATTATATTAAGATTGGGTTGCTGACTTTCATCCATACAAGGACGTGATTAGATTTTAGTTCATGAAATTTTCGATGAAATTAACTCTGCTGATTTGATATCTCATCTTCCTATTAGCGTTATATATATATGGCTGCGGCTACTGCTCGTATTGCGTGTACATTTTTATTCATCACTACGACTGTAAGTTGAGTAACATATTCTCACTTTCCTGTTAAAATATATAGTTAATCGAATGTCTAAGTACCCTGGTGTGCACTAAGTGGTTTTGATGCTAAGGGTATTCAAGTAACAAATATCTGTGTGTTAATCAACAGAAAAACCTACCAAAGTATCCATTTGGTACAACTAGTTTATCTTTTCCATTGACAAAATGTATTTGGCATTAAAGGGCGTGCACATTGTGCTGCAGTTATGTGTGGAATGGTCACCAAATTACAAAGTATATCAAGGTTATTGGTCTTCACATACAAATGTTTTCGTTCACTTGCTGGCGTTCATTAACTCTGTATGATTACTAAATGTGAACTTAGTTGTGCGGCATCCATTTTATGGTTCGAGTTTATTACAACTTGCATATGCAGTTTAACAGTAACAATGGCTGATTTTGACTATTCGTTTGCTCGTATCGGGTATAACGAAGTGAAATGAAATACTAAGACTTCAGAGATATATAAGAGCTCCATAAACGCTCATTAACTTGAAGACAACTTTAAGTAAGATCTTTCAATATCATTACAGCACAGCTTGCTCGTATTGTAGCACCACATTAGAAAACATGGTGCATGTCATTTCATAATTACAAATTATGATGAGATTTTTTTCTTACTTTTGCTACTATTTGCTACAGTAATCTGAACCAAGTAGTTGATTGAGTCTGTTTTGCGCCTACTTTCCAATTTATCAAAGCACATTTAATCGTTGATTTTTAAGATATATTTTGTTGCATACTTAGTTCTATTTTCATTTGTTTGGAAGTGCTCATTTGAAGTGATTTTCGACCTAGTTCGACTTATCAAAACCCGTTTTTATTTTATGTTTGTAAACAGTTTGAAGCCGCTTCTTGTCTCACCTCTTATACGATATTCCAGATACGTTCACTGAACCCTAAGTAGATATCAATTTCGGCTATATACTTACGTAACTAAGCATACCGTTTACTACATTCCAGTTTTTGGCTTAACCAAAAGTACTATAATGAAAAACGGTAGAATCCTATCAGACTACGTTATGTTTCTTGCACTTACTGAACAAAAATCTAAGATCTAGTCGCAATACCTTTATCGCTAGTATCAGTTTAGTGCCTTACTGCACTTGTAATATATTCTTTGTTTACACAGTAACTTTCTGTTTTGCAGCTTTGAAAATCAAGTTGTCACAGTTTAAATGACTGATGAAGTGTTGCAGCGTCAGTTACTTCAGGAATTGCAAAAGCAACGATTTCAACAATTGGGCCATCAACTCACATCAATTTGTTGGGATAAATGTGTCTCAAAGTTGAGTAGCTCATTGGATTCAAGAACAGAAAGTTGCTTAGTTAACTGTGTGGAGCGTTACATAGATGTTTCGGGTGTTCTTACGCGTCGTCAAAATGAAACACGCCTAGGATTTGTCGATGTAAAACCTAATGATTAAATAATAAATACATTATTTCACCCAATTTCTTTTCCTGTTAATATTCTAAATGTTCCGTTATATGGTACTTACTTATTTAATGTTTTCAGATGTTTATTTCCTCAGCACGGTAAGATGTAAAGTATATATAAAAACTCTTCTTTTAGAGTCCTTAGGTGCAGCATAGGATCTGCAATCCTCTCTGTAAGTCTAACATCTAGTAAACTAATTCGAAATCTCCAAAAAGCAGGTACCGCTTTCGCGTTGCTTATCAAGCAAAACTGATCCTGAATTCGGAATCACGAATATTCAAGATGATAATGACTTTCAAAAGCGTGTTTTAGAAAATCCAGCCCCAGTACTTGTCGACTTTCATGCTAAATGGTTAGTCTCTTATGCATTGTTTACGAGATTATATTGACGTTGTCGCTTTTCTGAAATTTATAGCATATTCGCTCATTATTCTACGGATTTTGTAACAATATCTCCACTGAGTTAATTTGCCTGATGGTAATGCTTAATTGTATCTTTTAATGATTGTAGGAACTCGGCAAAGTATCTTGAGCATATCAAAGCAGGTAAATTAACTGAGTTAGAACTCTTCACGAAAGTCTAGTGTTTCATAATTACACTTCCTAGTAGCTCAAAAAGAAGGAAATGCCAAAGTAGGATGGCACCATCGAGCATTTGAAATTATGTACAGATGTATAAGATATATAAAGGTAAACAAAAGTTTGTAGATCCGCCCAACTATGATTACCAATCACTAATTTTTCAAGTTATAGCAATGTTTTAGGAGCTTTTGAATCTCTAATTAAGCCGAAGGAACATCTCTGGTTGGTGCTAAACGTGAACAAATCATAGTTAATCACACGCGTTCAAGTGATGTGTTCTCATCGTTCGCTTTCTTAAAACACCATGTCCGACACCAGATTTATGTCGTCAGCCACATATTTGTGATCAGATATCTACAGTCATGTGTCTATACCATGAATATATTATAAAATATTGTTCGGTTGAGGATCGGTAACACAGATTAGAATAATTGTCAGATGTCGGAACAACATCAGTCTATTCAGTCGCCAACGCGAATTAAAGATTGTAAACTTGAGATTTTATCGGTCAAAATTCGTTCCTTCTTTGTTTTGTGTTTAACAATACAAGCGTTACTCTAGGTGACATCATCACTCATCTTCTTTTTCACTTGGTTCTATCATTCCCTTTTGTATATTATTTTTATTCCTGTTGGCGCGTTGAAGTATGATGACTCGGATAAGTACATTATCATTGCAGGTTCCAGCGTTAAGTTTCCATCATTGTTTCACTGTGTATACATCTCCATGTCATTTGTCAAATCCTTAGTACCACTGGGATGCTCGCACTGAAACATATGGTTGTATTGAAGTGAGTCTATCTTACATCAGTCAGTTTTGCTACAATATACTGACCTATTCGTTCAACCTTATCTTCTGGCGTAACGTCACATTTTCCTACAAACGACAGATACCAAATCAGCTTCATCGTCTTTTGAACTGGTTAGAGTGAGACAATTTATATTTTTCGAGCAATAACCGCTATTCTATTTTCTCTTCTATTTTTTAATTCTAGGTGTGGTCCTTGTAAAATTTTGGGTCCAAGATTAGAAAATGTCATGAAATCGTATATGAAGTCTGTTCTGCTTGCCAAGGTTGATGTCGACCATCTGGATACTATTGCTGAAAAGTACAAGGTAGGATTTAGTCTTGTCGTAGTCACTTAAAGAGTTTCTGGTGTATTAAACTAATAGCACTAGATTCGGACTTGTAAGCCTCTGGCTGAAGTCGGTTCTCAGTACAACCATGTAAAAGAATCAGATGAAAGTAACGGGAGTAAAGTAAAAAACGAACTCTGGCTTAACATGTAAAATAATACGTCCATGGAGTTTTTCACTAATGTTTAGCCGTTTTCTTGCAGCAGCAGAAACTGAAAAAGTACTTTTCATAATTTAACTTATTATGCCATTATTAATTTTGCTGTTTAATCCTTAAGCGGTAGTCCACTCATTTAATCAAGAGCATTTAGTTCAAATTTATTATAGTCTGTTCTTATTCTTCTTCACTCTGATTAGTCATTCATGTTATTTCAACCCAATTCACAAGCGATTGCAGATAAATAGACGAATTACTCTTCTAGACTGCATCTCCTTCATCCTCTCTCTCTGTATTTTTCAATCGGACGTTCACTTATGTTTTGGGAGATTCATAGTTATGTCTTTTACTACTAAAGTCATGGATTTTACTATTATATTATTCTACTTTCGACTGACACTCCAGAGAGCTGTGTTAGGTAGGCTGATAATAACAATAATCCAGATGATAACTGATCTAGTTGCCATTTTCTTAATGTGATCAGAAGTTTGCCTATCAAGACTTTGATGAGTAGTAAGAATTCAACAATTATGTCAGTAACCGATAACATAACTATCCCACATTCATAGATTATCGTTTTACCCATTCAATACTTGGTTCTGATTTGTTCTCTTCTTCACTGTTATGTTCATAATACTACCTCACTCTATTAATCAGTAACTACTATTCATCGCTATTCACTTTTAGAGAATATTAAAAGAAATCTTTTCCAGAAGTACATTTCTGTCCGTCATAGTTTTAATATCTTCCACTGGTTAACCATGAATATGAGGAGTATCTAAGAAGAAAATCACATCTGAGTCTTCATTAGAAGCCATGTGTTTCACTTCTTCTTAGATAACTTGTTACAACTGTTGAATAAGTCTCTCGCGTTCTTTTTATCCTATTACTTAATTCATAGACCAGCTAAATTAGTGAGGAATAGAAAATGGATTGTTTAAATCTAGGTGCGGTTTAAGTGTCAGTAACATATCCAATCATTGTCTTAATTTTTCTGTTTAAAACAACCTATTGTCTACATATTTTTTGATTTACCATTGTTTATTTTTCCAATTTCTTTCGTGTATATATTTAGATCAATGTTGTACCAACAGTTATCTCTATGAAAAATGGTAAGGAAATTGAAAGATTTGAAGGAGCGAAAGAGGAGGAATTTATCAAACGCAAGATTGAGTTCATGCTAAGTAGCAAAGCTTCTTGAAAGCAGCTGTTTGTATAGAAACTTTTAAGTAGGAAAGACGATAATTCACCAGTTATTGTTACTTCCTATTGTTAGTTCTTTTCTTTTTGGAATTTCACCTATATGCGTATGCAGACTTGTTTGTTAAATATGATAGAAGTATTAGATTACTTTTGTATTTCACGTGGTTTATACCCATCAGTTTGTTTTCTTTTCTGCATTTACGTTTAAATTATGCAGAGATTATCAGTTATATAGAAATCATCACATCACTAGCCTACGTGTACGTGTGTTTGACGAATGTACGACAGAACTGTTGTGTCGGTTACTTTGACTCTACATCAAATTGCTGATCTTGTAGTATGCTTCCCGTCGGTAAACGTGAACAAAGTAAGTACGAAATACTAGGAAGGGTAAAACAAAGTCATCTTCGATTCTTGTTAACTACATATAACTTAAAACTGTTCAGTAGCCATAGGTGCATGCAGTGAACCAAGAAATTTTGATCAAAGACACTTCGGGTTCCTATATTTCCTACTTTTAATGGCCATGTCTCACGAGTGTAGAGTTGAACGCAATAAAATGTTGTGCAGTGCACATGATCTTTAAGTAGATAACTGGATACTTCGTGTAAACTGGCAGATATCAAACGAGCCTTTAGTATCCATGCTGAAGTTTCGTTAGCAGGCGATTCATCAGGGCAAATCCAGTCTTCTAAATAAATGTAGTAATCAATCATTTTAATCTGTTTCATAAACTAAGAATCGATGATTAAAGCGCCCAAAAGACCTATTGTCTTCAATTAGAAGCAGTATACGATCTGCATACACGATATAGATGACCTCTTCTTCCGATGTTGGGGCAATTCCTTGGATGTAAATGTCAGATAAAGTCACAGTACATTTCTAATAAGATCAAATACAAACAGTGAGATTATGCTAACACGGGGGATACCATTGTTATTATCAGTTAAAACAGGAACTGTCCATATACAGTCACGAGGTTGCGAGTGTCTGGATAAAATGCTTTGATTAGCTTAACATACTCTTTCAATATTACCCTGGTAACCAAACATTACCATAACGGTCGACTGACTGGGTTGGATTTCGTCTTATGTTCGAGAAATGTGGCAAGTTGGTTTGCCTGTGTTCCAGAACCTTTTGACTAGAAGATTTCAAGATAGCGAAAATATTCATTCAAACATTTAGTCAAAACAAAAAAAATTGAGCTAAGAATATCCTCTTGGATAATTTCGTCTTCTCTCTCTACAATTATGTATATGTTTGTATACATAGAACAGTCGTCAAGAACAATATTGGTGTTTTTGATTGGGTGTTGCCGGCTTTTGCGTCGGCGGCATAGCGGTTAGTACGCTCGCCGACCATACACATGGTCCGAGGTTCGATCCCCGGCCCACGCACTCCTTTACCTCGCTAAGCCAGAAATAATGTTGGTAAAGAGGAAAGGTTGGGCATGAGGCTAGCAACCCCATCCTGTAAAAATAAACACTGCTACAGAAAATTCAAGCCATTAGCTTGAAGCCCTATGTTCCACTGGGAACGTGAAGGAAAAAAAATCCTTTTGATTGGACACTAGTCAGTAACTAGTGTAATGTGTGTCTAGCCCTATCTTTGTTGCGGACCGAATTCTGTCAGTAAAGTTTGCAGTGTAGCCACCATTCTACGTGCTCACCATCACGGTGCACTATGAATTGTTGGCACCTAATATGATTTTTGATAAAATCAGCGAGATATCAACACAACGCTTTAGGAATGCGATAAAAAGAGCATCCAGTGCTGCTGAATTATGCTGTCTTCAAAACCACCGGTATTTTGCGTTCGGGAGTGAAAGGTAAACTGCCTAATTTCACCTCTTCTATGTGTGTGTATCTACCGATTTGACTGCTCCTGTGGAGCCATTTACATAGGCCGTACAATTAGGCGTTTTCTCGTTGGATTTCGGAATATCGCCCTGCATGGTTAAGTAAAGGACAAATAAAATCCATTCATAGCGCTATTCTATCTCATCTTGTGGATGAAGAACATGCGATTGATGTTAACGAGACTTTCAGAGTCATCTACCGCATACCGATTAATCTTAACTTCACCTTAAGAGTTCATCTACTACACATTGGTGAGGCCGTTGGGATTCACATGAAGAAACCTAACTTATGTTTCCAAAAGAAGCTGGTTCAGACAACATCCTTACCTTGACCATCAAGGTTCCAATGATCCTCAATTTGTTTTGGAAACTTCCTTAATTTTATCTGACATTTTATTTACTATTATATTTGTATGCTTATTATAATTTATGCATCTTTAGTGAACTGTAATTCAACTGATCTTAATTAACAAATCGATATTATTTAAAAAAACACTAGGTTTCGTGCTAGTTGGCACTAACTGATAGAATTCAGTCTGCACCAAAGAAAGGACTAGATACGTCACACTATTCACTAGTGTCCAATCAAAACGGATATTCCTTGCTCAGCTTTTTGATTAGTCAAGGTTTGATAAGTCCGACCTTAGAACTTTCTGCTTGCATCTGGATCTTTGTCTATTACAGGAAGTTTTGTTCCTCGTATAAACTGGAGTGATCTAATATTCACAACAGTCAGATGAAATAACTCCATACATTAGTTAGTACCTACGTTGATCTAGTCAATATGTCATCATCGCCATCTCTAAGTTCCTTTTGAGTATCTCAACTAGCCACGTTTTAGATTAGTAGCAGCTTTCTCAACCCCGGCTAGAGTTATAGTGTCTATCTCCATGTCCAGTGCAAGCTTTAGTTTAAATGATGGACAACTGCAGGTCATTTGGACCTTCCTGAGTCTTCTGCTTAATGCTGCAGCCACGTCTCTCACGAATTTATTCAAAGTTCCATTCTTTTACTGATCAGTTCACTTAGGATAGCTTTTCTATGGATGCCATTCTTAATAAGCCTAAATAGTTGATAGGTATTATCGAACGCTGATACCTTTTCCATCTCTCTAGCGTCACTCACCCAGTATTGCTCACGGTGGTCATGAAGACTTCCAAGTGACTTACGTCTAAATATGTTTCAGTACTCGGAATGTTCAGATTCTATCTGAAGAAACTCATTGTCATTGTTATTATTATTCGTCCCTTGGATTCCGAGTGGAACATAGGAATTCAGCAGCACATCTCTATTTCACTCTGTTCTTTGTATTCTTTCTTAACTGGCCCCTCCATGTCACCCTAAGACCCATAACCCCCGACTCGTCATTTATCATTCAAATTCCACCCAAGGGCCTGGCCTTACTGAAATATCCCCGTGGCGTGTGTCCAAACTATTTCCATTTTCCTCTGCATATTTGTTGGCTAATAGCGTTTTGGTTAGTTCGTTGCCACAATTCCTCGACGCCAATCCTTCCTGGCTATCTGATCTCCTGTATGGAGCGAAGGTAACAGTTGAGGATGAAAATCTGCGGTAGCTTGTCGGAAATGCTTTTTGAGACGGACGTGCTAAGTCTCTGAACTATATAGAAGCACTAAATTACTTGACATTAGTGTTGGAAATC